AAGTAAACATTTCACAAACAATGCTATAATTAAATGCAAAAATACTAGTTTTCAAATAATAAGGCAGTCATTTGCATATAAAATTTACAATGTCTAAATATTCAAAAACAGTAGAAATAAATCTCACAATTTTACTAAAAGCAGAAATATCACATTTATTTCTAATAATTTTACAGTATCTAAAATTTTCTAACAATAGACAAGAAAAATAAATAAATTTATTTTTTTAAGAATTTACAGCATTTAAGATTTCTAACATAGATAAAATATCACAATTTTATTAAAAAGATTATTTTTCAAAATAATGAGGTCGCTTGCGCATAAAATTTATTACGCCTAAAATTCATGATAATAAGCAGAAGTAATTATTTCATTTTATTTTTAAAAATAGCGGATTATTTTTCAATATAATGAAATCACTTACCTAAAATATTTGAGAGGGAGCTTCCGATAAAAATTCGGCTAAAAAGGAAAAGAACTCACTGCGTTTCGACTAGAGAGAGAAAGATCTCAAAAATTTTCTAGGGTAGGAGTCATCACCTCTCCTATTTAAATTCTTAAGATACCTTATTATATTATCTTATTAAGTTAATATAACAATTATTAAGATATATGAGGTGTAACAATTATATTATAGTTGAACGTTTAAAGCCCATGTCCACTAAAAGACGTGTGCAAAAACTTAAATAAAAAGCTTTTGAAAGTAGTGATGGTCCTTAAAGACCATCATGCTCATATGAACCATCACTTATTAAAAGTATGTTTTTTTTAAAAAAAAAATTTAGGATTATTACAATCAGCCCTTAGGCTGACAAAACCTTTTTCCTTGTTGTGTGTGTGCGTGCGTGTATGTGTAATAAAAAAAGAAAAACCCTCAAGGTGTGCCTATCCTTAGAAAAATGTGGACGACATTTAGAGAGATAGAGTACATGGTGTGCCTATCCTTAGAAAAATGTGGACGACATTTAGAGAGACAGAGTACATGGAGAAAAAATAAAAAAGATAGGTTTTCATATTAGGGAGACAAAGAGGGAAAGATAGATTGAGAGAGAAAGCGAGGGGGGAGTAGGAGAGCGAAGGAGATGGGGACAAAATCAAAGAGAGGGATTTATTAGGGAGAGAGACTGAGAGAGTACATGAGAGAAGGAAATGGAGGCAAAATCAAAGAGAGATTATTGAAGACTTGTCTGGGATAAACATGTAGGTTTTTTTTTTAATTTTAAATAAATATGACATCTTCATCGATAAAAACTATACCAAAAAAAATACCAAATGTAGAGAGAGATAGTACCAAGAGCAAATTTGTGGAAATATAGGCTTGGTATGCGTACATATTTAGAATTAAGTAAGATATTTTAGGTTCTTTCACCGGAAACCACCGTGGTTTCCATCATCCCAACTTTGATTTTTGGGTAGCCGTCAACAGAGACTAGGTCTTCCATGGAGAGGATAAAACCCACAACAGACAGAGTCAAAGAATATTTAAGTACTCCAACTAAACCCGGACAAAGTAAAAGAATATTTTAAGTACTCCAACGAATCGGTCCCTTCCAACAGTACAGCACCATTAAAACATGACTATCGTGCTATCACTCCTACCAAATAAAATAAAACATGACTATAATGCGCAACCAATATACTATATAATACCTGAATATAAATGTCAAAAAATCAAAATAAATTAGAGAAATTTATCAAAACTAACCTTTACCTCAGCTGTTTAACACCATCGGTACGCCACATCACATGTCCTTTGGTGGATTTTTTTAAAATCAAATAAAAATAAATAGGCGATATTAAAAAGTTCATCTCTTGGAAATTTTTTTTACAAAAATTAGGGTCCGGACATAGCCTCAAGCTTTCAAGGCGGGTCTAGGTTCGGGCCACTTTACGGGCGTTACCAGGTATTATTGTTTTCAGGCTGGGCCGGTCCGGGTCAAGTAGGCCCAAAGCTCAAAACTCTCTCTCCCTCCCTCTATTTGGCTCCATCTTCTCTCTTATCCGAACTTCCCTAGTCTCTCTAAAGACATAAAGAAAACCCACTGGTTGGGGCCATGGATGCCTAGTGATTATGGTTTCAAAAAAAAACTAAAATAATGAACAAGAAAGTAGAGGGCAAAAGCCTGGTTTCCAAGTAGTGAAGCACACCACTCGCTCAAACCCTTCTCCATAATTATAAGCTCTTCATTTTTGCTCTTTGCATCAACATTTTTTAAGATTTCCATCTTTCCCACGTGTTTCTCTCCTTAGCCAACCAGTCTCTTGGGGACCAAGAGCATCACTCTTCCACCAAAACAATTCGTCTCCTTTTAGTAAACTCTGGCTTTCACTCAACAGACAACAAAAGACATTAGGGCTTGGGGGAGAGAATAGGTAAGGGGTTTGGAGAGAGAGATTTTACTAGGGTTTGAAAATAATGCTTTTAGTATATTTTTTTTTATAGAAAAGGGAAATTATCACTAACAAACCTTTATTTTAGTAAAATCAGAAAAAAAAAAAATCTTAATTTTTTAAAACCTCGCCTACACCATTTCTAACAAATTTCGGTTTTTTTTTTTTTTTACCAAAATGACCTTCACAATAGTCTCTTTATCGTAATACATTTTAAGCTTTACGGTAATTAAAACACCTTCAAAATTTCAAAAAGTATTACGGTAATTTAAATACGGTAATAGTTTGAATTATTATTATGGTAATTTAATAATGTGTTAGAAAGCCTTTACGGTATTCTTATTACCGTAATACTTTTCCAATCAATTCCAAACCTCTATTGATTGAAAAGCTTCAAACGGGAAGCTAAAATTAGGGTTACCTCTCTCCTCCCTTCAAGTAGTTTTCTTAGGAGATGTATTTTCAAAAAATCCATGTTCCCATGGGAGCATGATGTAGATATACTCTCTCGCTCAAAAACATTTATTTAAGCATGTTTTTATTCTAAAATTTTAAGAACCATATAAAAATTACTAATTTATTTTTAAAAGAATTGAATTGTGAGTTCTGAGACACTTAAATCTAGCTCTTTGAAAATTGGATAGTTTTTATTTAATCTTGAAGTGTTAGGTTTTTCTATTGAGTAAATGATCCTATAGGACCCTCCTCCACCCATGTATGTAGGACCCCCAAGGATCACCATTAAAATTGACACGGATCTCTAAAAAAGTTATCACATGGGTGTGAGACTTGTTTTTTCTATAGATACATGCTAAATTTAATGGTGATCCTACACACATGGGCGGGGAAAGGTCTTATAGGATCATTGCTCTTTTCTAATATACAAAAGAATTTACTTGGAAAATTTCTTTTGTTGAAATTATTCTATAAGTAGTAGAGATTATATCATAAAAATTTGATATTTGAAAAATACAACTAGCATGGATTTTTGTCGATGGAGTAAATAGATAGTAAACTCCCGAAAGAGCAAAAAATCTATTGTGTTCTTTTAATGAGACATGGACAATATTACAATAATTAAATTACCCTAATACTACTTTAAGGTATTACGGTATTTTAATTACCGTAATATTCCTTCAACTTATTACGATATTTACATTACTGTAATGTTATTAGGATAATTAAATTACCGTAATACTTTAGTATTACGGTATTTTAATTACTGTAGTACTCATTCAACTTATTATGGTATTTAAATTACCGTAATGTTCTTTACGATAAAAAAACTACAGTGAAGGTTATTTTGGTAAAAAAAAAGCCGAAAAATTGTGAGAAAAAGTGTTGTAGGTGAGGCTTTGAAAATTTTGAGCTTTTTTTTTTCGATTATAGTAAAATATAGGTATATTAGCGATAACTTCCCTATAGAAAAAGGCTTTTTTTTTTTTCTTTTTTAACTTTTGGGGTAATGGAAAAATATTTGAAGAGAGAGATCTTACCTTTAAAAAACAAAAGCATATATGGGCTGGGACCTAGCCCAGCCTGAAAGACATTATTGGGTCGACAGCGGGCCAGGCCTTCCCAACCTGGGCCAAAAATTTCAGGCTTTTTTGGGCCCGGGCCAGGGGTGGCAGCCCTAATCAAAACACGTAAAATATCAAATATTTGACATTTCACCCCTTTGTCAGGACACTCGTATTCTAACTTACAATCACTTATCCTTTCAAGGGATTTCTGAAATTAAATCAAAAGAATCTGATCAAACGTTAAACAGGTCATTTCTTTGGGTCCTTTCGATAAATTACTCAGTAATTAAATTCACTACTAACACAATTTATTGCCTGAATACCACAATCAAGCAACAGTTATTATTATTATTTTTTTGAGAAATTATCAAGCAACAATTATTCACTCAGTAATTTTACAGTATCGCAGAACTTGAGCACAGCATAATTTAATAAGTTACAGAAGGGGCCAGCAAAGGGCTCAGATCAGCTCCCTGAATAAATTACAGCTCTCAATACAGTTAGGTTATCGTTTTTCATAGAATATAAGATTTTTCACATAATCATCAATTGCCCAAACAGTAGCTATCAAAAAAAAGAATTTCCCCATTTATCCCTGCTACGAGCCAGCTCTTTTTAAGTATGCCATTACCCCAAGCCCAGCCACAAGGGCAGCTCCCGCAGCCACTGCACTATAAGCAGCAGCCCATGCATCTTTGTGTGCAAAATCCATGCTTCCGGGCCCAATACTCTGATAAGAACCCGAATCTGAATAATCCAAATATAGCTTCAAACCCTGCAAAAATATAAATAAAAAATAAAACAAAAATGTTAGTAGTAAATCAAAGGTTTCTATACTATGCATCATGGGGTATCCTTTAGTTCCTAGCACTCCTCAACCGTTCGCTGTTCAAATTTGACGGATCTTTTTTGTCTGTGGGGATGGGGAGAGAGGGAGCTAGGAAACTATAAAAACCCGAATGATAGCATAGAATACTTTCCAATTGAAAACAATAGGGTAAACGAAAATGGCATCACGAAAGAAATGGAAAAAAAAATAATTCGAGTGTTGGGTCAACAACAGCCTGAAGAAATGACCTCTCACAACGTCTACTCAATTAGACAACACAAACTATAAGGGGAAAGTATACCATCCAACAACACGTCACAATAATGGGACATCCACCATATGTTTCCTAAATGGATGGTGGAGATTAACTGCTGGACATTCACCTACTTATGATTCATGTCCACCATCTGTTTTAAAGGAGTGAATAGCAGGTCTTGAATATTATACACCATGAGTGTGTGGTATACTACTTACTCTCTGACATTAACAATGTCCACTCAAGTAGAGAGCACATGAAAAGGAAAGGGTACACCCTACAAAAGTGGCATACAATATGTGATACACCAATGGGTTCACTATCTAATTCATTAACTGACGCTCAAGACGACCCCTAGTTCCAGACAACGAGCCCGGCTATGCTCAATCTCTGCTGTCAGCTTGAAAGAATGCATGGTGGATGTCCCCTTAAAGTACCATATACTAAACTCCAAATGGTGTATTATATACTTACCCGATACAAAAAGTATTTTTATATTATGGATTTGGCTGGAACTTAAACTCATGATTAAGAAAAGAGTAGTGATGCTAGAAGCATGGGAGTAAGAGTCATCAGGCAGGGTTGCGAGTGTAAGAAACCTATAGATTAACAGGCACCAAATGCTGCTAGAAAGAGGAGTTTGAGTTCGACAGTATTCATATACCAGATAGAGTATAATGGCAATATTCAGTTTGATAGTGCAAAGCTACAAGTTTTATAATATTAGATGCCATCTCAAGCTAGCTGGTTGTACCATATGGAGACTAATTTTGAGAAAATGAAATAATACATTATTTTTGTAGATTACATCAATCAAAAAAGAAAAAACAAATCAACCTGGTTGAGAGGTACCATATCATCTCACCAAGATTCAATGCAATGCATAACCAATAAAACACATTACAGTTATGCCCCCGGACTGGTTGGCACCATGAGACAATCGCATCTAATATCAATGTGGGCCAGCTAAAACAAAAGCATATTTGAAGAAAAAAGAGGACAAGAAGCTCAAAAAACATAAACGGTTCTCATTTATATTTTAATCTGTAACCAAAGTTCCAATCATATGTGCATGATTGGGACTTAACCCAAAGTATTCATGTTTGGAAAATAATGGTTTTCTTTTTACCTTCCAACCAGCTTGTCGAGCATGATCCACAGCAGCTGTAAGGTCGCTGTCTGTTGCAAGTAATACTTTGTCGCGCTCTTCATCTTCATACTGCAATAGATAACTCCAAGTTAAGCATGAAACAACTTGCATAACATGTGCAATTCCCATGGAAATTCACAGCACAATAGAGCAATTTGAGTACCAATATTTGTGGCAGATGGTTCCTATCAATGTCATCCCCCATCCTCTGAACAATGGATGTTAGAAGCTCTGATAAACTACCTGTACCTAACCTCAGCAACCCAAGCAAGAAACTTCATAAATGTTTTTCTTGAAAGAAATAACTCCATAAAAGTTTCAAAGCAAAATGTCAAATTTCGAGATTAATAACACATAATTGCTCAGTGGGAGTATTTACCACAGTTAAACCTATGCATACGGCCCTTTTTGTCCTCCAGCTTAAAAGTGAAGGCACTTGCCAGCCCTGTAGATGGATATAGAGATCTCCCTGTTTCAGTTCCATCTGATGCCACTCTTGTTGCAGATCCTTCACTGGAAAACAATATACATGCATGAAAGTTGACCATCAGCATTTTTTCAGCATTTTTTTAACAATACACTGGAAACTATGCTCAGAAAGATGGTTTGACTCAACTTGAGCTTCCTGTCAGTGCAACGAACTTAAAAGCAAGAGAACAACGTACTCAGCAACCTTACACTATTATTTGTTTTCACTATTGCAATTCTTCAGTTATACAACTTACAATGAACTAAACTCAGGTATTGATAGAGATAAAAACTGTGAAATGGTTTAGTATCTTATTCTCTAATTCTTTTTCTCGATATTTGAATTTCTCAGAAAAAATGCAAAAGGTTGAAAAACTTGCAGAACTAGAGCGTGAAATTTGGCTCCTTTGACTTCTCAAATATTGATCTAAGATGCATACTGAAAAGAACAATATATAACCTTTGTGTATCGTCATCATCTTCTGGTGGTCCCAAGGACATTGCTGTATCCCAAAACTTTTGCATCATTGTACTAGTCGTTTCATTGCCAACAGCCCCAACACTTCCCACCTAGAAATTCCATAATACATGCCAAGATCAATCTAGATCTTGTTTAGCATTAAAATAATCATTCTACAGAAGAATTCTTAACTTACTTTCCACTGTAAAATAAATGAGGATCTAAATATGGCATATATAACATAATTCAAAGGAGTATTGTGTGCAGTTGTCAGAAGAAAAAACAAAACTATACCAAATTGTCGACTACAAGCCATTTTCAAATCTTTATAGGTTACTCCGACATTATCAAATTGTCAGCACAATCTATTCCATATTGTTTGATAGGTGACTCCAACATTACACGCTAGCCCACTTTTCCAGTTTAGCATGTATTCTTGACTTTACTAAACCGTAATCTTCTTAATAAGAAAATTGTCAAACACCAGCACAAATGGATAGTAACAGATAGCATCAACTAACCGTGGCTACAGCTGCGTGTGTAACTTGTATTACATCAATAACAGCAACAATGAAGCCCCCTGCCATAAGACATCAAGAAAGCATGAGGAAAACACTCAAGAGAGACAGATTATAACATTCAGCCCTGTAATGGACAGAACTTCACCTTTGTCTACAACTGGAAGGTGTAAGAATTTCCCATCATGCATGATGTGCAGAGCATCAACAATTGGTGTATCAACTGTTGCACATTCAGGATTTGGGGTCATGACCTGGATATCAGGGTCCAATACTTGGATCTTAGAAAGCCAATAAGTTTGAGACTTCTAAAACAGGATAAGCATTGGCATTTACTTGTTCACACACACCGAGCATATGGAAAAGGATTTTGTCTATGTGGACCGCTAAACTATCTGCCTTCTTTATAAGGGGCATTTTTGGGCCCAAATTTTGCACATGCACTCTCTTAGACCCCGAGAACAAGCTCATGAATTTTTTTGAAAAAGAACACTAGAAACACAAATAAATACACACACACATGCGCAGAAACACGCACTCACACACACACAGAAACACACATACGATAGAGATGTGGCAAAAATTTCATGCTGGTTGCCAATCTAACACAACCCTCACCATTTCTTATCGTTGCATAGCAATGAAACTGAAATGGAAGTTCTATAGGATGGTTGTAACACTAGCCATGCTTTACGGGACAGAATGTTGGGCGGTCAAGAAATAACATATCTATAGAATGAGAATGGCTGAGATGAGAATGTTGAGATAGATGAATGGAAAGACAAGAAAGGATAGAAATTGGAATGAATACAACTGAGGAAACTTCGGGGTAGCTCAAATAAGCGATAAGATGAGGGAAAGTAGACATATACAGTTTGGCCATGTGCAGTGTCGACCTAGAAAAGCGCCAGTTAGGGGGGGGGGAGATTTGCTTGAAGTAGACAGCTTTGGTAAAAAGAAAGGCCAAAAAGGATATGGATGGAAGTAGTGTGAAGTGATGTGGTGACATATGATTTGAATGAGGGTATTGCCCTTAATAAAGTGGAATGGCAAAACAGGAACCAAGTAGCCATCCCCAAATAGATGTGATTGGGCTCAAATGATGATGAAGATGATATATTTATACACACACACACACACACATAGTGTGTGTGTGTGTGTAAAGTGAGAAAACTCTGTAAACACAGGTTCTTTTAAGGAGAGAAAAAATGGTTTCTAGATCTAGGGCTTAGGGAAATTTGCATAAGGGAAAAGCATAGAATAAGCCTGTTACCTTTGATATAAAAAAAAAGAAAAGTTACAATCACCCATAGGCATCAGTTCTGAAATTTGGCTGCTAGGATTGTACAACTGACCACATTCAAGTCCGAGAAAAATTTCCTCAAAGTTTGTGTGGAGACATTACACACCCTAATTATCCAATTTTACATCTAACGTCTTGAGGTGTTTGTGACCATTGGGTACAAAAGGTAACATTGTCATTATATATCATTCCTCGTTTGGCTCCAAATTCTGTATCTGGCTTATTCATACCACATGGACAATTTAATAAAAACAAAATTGATGTTGAGTTCTTGAAGGCCTATATCTAGCCCACCAAAGAACTTGATGACTTTCATCCACCGAGTTCAAGAAAACCATTTCCTAGGGATTTTTTCAAAAATTTATGTCATAAGCTTGTTTGATGTGTTGAACAGATTGTTCATGCAAAATTTGGAGGCAACAAAATCCCCCCAAGGGACATAAAATTGGGGATGGAAGATATTCTAGCAGTCTGCCAGCAACCCAAATCCTTTATACATCCATATAGAGTCCAGAAGAAAATATATAATTTTTGATAAAGACCAACAACTCTGGTCAAATATGCTATACTTGAGAAATTCATTGGGTATCCAGCACAAACAGAGGTTGGTTAATAGGTTACTCATGAACATTTCATTTGAATATAGAAGAAAGATTAACATTAAGCATCCCAATCCGATAACTTGTTATCAAAATGTGTTCCTTTCAACGCTTTCTATATTTCCAGTAACTAGTGATGGCACCCAAGGCAGCCAAGAGATGGTGTGCCAAGGCAGGCAGATAAGGACCACATATGAAACCTAGAAAAACTCAAGGTGGGGCATGAGTCCCTAGGAGGACTGTAAAGGGAAGCGCCCAAAGGTTTAATGAACCAGAACCGGCTGGTTCTTGTACGGGAATCAAGTAATTCCCTTGTCTTGGGGAATTACCGAAGTCAGGGGCAAGAGAGAAGTGGAAATACAGGGGTTTGAATCCTCTCTCTCTCTCCCTTTTAATGGAGAAAGAGCAGGCAATCTCTTTCTCTCTATTTATCTTCCAGTGTTTTAAAATGCGGCAGCATCGCCGCATATGTGGTCGCATCATGAGGGATGCGCTCGCATCGGCATTGCAAATTGGTGCATATGTGCTTATGATAGATGCAGCCGCCGCACCATGGCCGTATCGCTCCCATATGTTTCCTCTCTCTCTCTCCCTTTTAATGGAGAAAGAGCAGGCAATCTCTTTCTCTCTATTATCTTCCAGTGTTTTAAAATGCGGCAGCATCGCCGCATATGTGGCCGCATCATGAGGGATGCGCTCGCATCGGCATTGCAAATTGGTGCATATGTGCTTATGATAGATGCGGCCGCCGCATCAGGCCGCACCATGGCCGTATCGCTCGCATATGTTTTCCGCAGAAAAAGTTATCGATTTTGCCCCTCAAAATGGTCGTTTTGAATTTTCAAAGTTTAGGGAGACAGTTTCGGGGGTTATTATACCCCCTAAATGAAGATTTTTTTTGCATCAAATCGAGGGAAAACTTTTTTTGGCAGAATTTGTTTTTTCATCCAAATCTTCAATTTGGCGGTTGTTTGATACTTGGATGTTCATTTGATGCCTGTGATTGTTGATTTGGGGATGTTAAGGTGAATTTGAGATAAGAAATTGGGGGTTTCAGAGGCCGTGAAGAAATCGAGCACTACTTCACAGAGTCGGTAACTTTTTATTACTTTTTGTACAATAATACTGTTATACTTATTTTTGGGACAATGTCTTCTTCCCAATATTCTAGTAATAAAGATCCAGCTTGAAAATATGCTAAACTTAAAAACCCAAGAGATAGAAATTGTGTGATATGCAGGCTCTGTGAAGATGCTTATATGGGTGGTATTTTTCGACAAAAAGAGCATTTAGCCAGAATTTCTGAGAATGTAAGAGCATGCCCACAAGCTACAAATGATGTAAAAAAGGAGATTAGAGAATATTTGGATAGATTAAAAAAAGATAAAGAGAAAGAAAGAGAAAGAAAGAAAGGAATTACTTGATGATATGATTTTATTTGATGATGTTGATGATGATGATGA